TTTTTACTTTTCATGTCCTGTTTTTCAACAATTACAATTTATATGATTTAACTCTGTGCATTTCTTAGGTAAAAGTATCGGGAAGATATCAGAAGGAGTAAATCTTACTCAAAAGACTCACCTGGTAGAGGTATTTGAGCCTGGAGCTGAACATATAGTTCGCCTCTTGACTAAGAATTGGGTTGATAACAATAGCATTTTTGAAGATGTAATTGAGACCAGAGGGAGAGGTGAGACATGAGATTGTATTTGGGGCAATTTTAGACAATAAATCTATGTTTTGTAGATTTTTAAATTTTACCTACTTCCTGTATTAAAGATAAAAATGTGGAGTACATTAGCTATAAAGGTAATAGTTTCCATTTGTTTTAGCATACCATTTTTAAATTATCAAAATGAAGAATGTTCCACAAAGTTCCAACATATTCCTTATCATTTTTACCAGACTAGTTGACTAAAAATACCTCCTGCCAATTAACACATGTTGATAACAAAAACTAAAAAGAAAAACAAAACAACATAAGCCCCACAGAAACTCCCTGGCAATCTGCATATAACCAAGCCAGCTTGTGCTTTTGCTTGCTTGTGCTGCTGTGTATTTCACTTGATCTGCCTCCACTATCCCTTTTTGGTTTTCATCCTCTGAGTCAAATGTAGCTTGAGAGGGCTCTTTCTAAATAGAGACTGCAATGATTTATCAGTATTCTTCCAGTGAAATGTCCTTTAAATCACATTGCCTCAAGGGTCAATGAAAGGAAAAATAAAACGGATGCTATTTTGTATGTTTAAAAAATATGTTTCATATTCCCACAAGGGGCATAATCCCAAAGCCTGTTTCTAGTGTTCAGTGTGTGATTTCTCTTTATACAACAGAATATGCTGGTTTATATGATGACATCTCCACTCAAGGCTGGTTTATTGGATTGATGTGTGCGATTGCTCTTCTCACACTAATCCTGTTAACTGTTTGCTTTGTGAAGAGGAACAGAGGTGGAAAGTATTCAGGTAAAGCTGTTTCTTAATATCCTATGAAGTTATTAAATAGTATTTTCTAGGAGGCATTCTTCTGACACATTTTTTGTTTTTTAAGTTACACATTTAAGTCAAATTTATGTTAGCACATTAGATATGCAGTGTACTGAAAGGAAAAAATATCCTAAATTAACTAACCAAAGGATATATGGTCCAGAATATTATTTTCAGATGGTTACTTGTTTTCTACTTTCTAGTATTTAGATAGTCTCTAAGGAAGCTTATCATATTTCCAAGCTTCTACTTTCTGTCTGTAAAGTATCAGAGATGTTGAGAACACTAATCACTACGCCACACACATACAGTTTGTCTTAAGAGGAAGGGACCCATTTATAGCAAGCCTTGCCACATATTTATGGTGCAGAGAATGCATGCACTAGCATATTCTAACAGTCGTGACTCCGTCAGCCAGCTTTGTTAGAGTTAACCATGGCTGGGAATGCTTTTCTTATGACCATGACATATATTGAATACACTGGCTCCTGCATTAATGTACATAAAACATAAATAAAAACCATCATAATTAAATAATGGTTGGCTTTAATTCAACTTTCAAATTTATTTGATCTTTTTCAGCTATCCATATTGTGTTGTTGCTCTTATTAGCATTCAAGATGCTTTTACATAACGGGAAAGATTTAGAACCTCCTCCTATTAGTTTGATGATGTTCAGATTAGTGAGAAGTTCTTTTATTGGCTTATGATTCATCTAGCAAATATTTATTGGGAACAGATATGTATATTGAACATTCAAACAAACAAAAGCATAATTTCTAAATTTTTACAAAATGTATGCATGGAGGGGTGCCTGGGTGGCTAAGTCGGTTAAATGGCCGACTTCAGCTCAGGTCATGATATCACGGTCCGTGAGTTGGAGCCCTGCCTCGGGCTCTGTGCTGATAGCTCGGAGCCTGGAGCCTGCTTCTGTTTCTCTATTTCCCTCTGTCTCTGCCCCTCCCCCCTTCGCACTCTGTCTCTCTCTGCCTTTCAAAAAAAATGAATAAATGTTAAAAAAAAATTTTTTTAAAATGTATGTGTGGGAATTTATGTAATTATCCATCTCATTTTTTTTCCTGTGAACCCTGAATTATTATGAAGTAGATTTTCAATAATTAATGAATGTCTGAGTTAGTTAATTGGAAATTTTAAAGAGATAGAACATCCTCTTCTGAGTATCCCCAACAGTCTCTTGTGAAGTGTGGCCCTATCCAAATTTTAAAGAATGATGGAAAAGAAAAAAAAAAAAAAAGTCAGCAGTTCACATTGTAGGATGGGTAAAAGAATCTTTTAGGTCTCTGCAAGTAGAAGTACAAGATGCCATGAAGGATTTTTGTTTGAGTTTTCCTAGTTGTCCTGTGTCCCACTACTTAGAATAAATCAAATTTAAAATGTCACCGTAGATAGACCTGAATATTCTGATTATTTGAGGCAATTATGAATATGAGTGAGAAGAGGACGGTCAAAGGTTGACTCTTGACTCACTTTAGTGACATAGATCTGGTATGATCCCGTGGCATCTTCAAAAAGTTTTGGTTAGTACAATGTAGATCTAGTAATTTGGTCTTCCCTAAGAAACCGTAACTAAGTTTTACTCTTCCAGTAAGACTCATTGCCCACATAATACTGAATAGCCACACGATGGTTTGCAACAGGCTGTAATTCTGATGACAAATCAGGAGAATCCAGGAACTCCTTTTCCTTTTTTGCTTAAACAAAGAGGTAACTGATGGGTTGTAGATACAACCACAAAAAACAAACAAACAAACAAACAAACAAAAAAACAAAAAAAAAAACCTTGACTCGCTAGTATCTAAGAACTGGAGCAGTGCTTCTTACTGATGATCTATCTTTAACTACATTATTAATATGTCTTTAAAAATTATTTGTATTACTTCCCCCTCTATTTGTGTTTTAGTGAAAGAAAAGGAAGATCTGCATCCAGATCCAGAAGTTCAGTCAGTAAAAGATGAAACTTTTGGTGAATACAGGTAAACAGTGTCCTTTCTCAAAATGTATTAAAACATGCACTCATGAGGTTATAAGCTTAAAAATACAAAAACAAACAAGTACTTCTTGTTAAAATAAAGTTTATACTACTATCTTGTAGTGCCTTTTTAAAGAATAGTTTGTAGGAGCACCTGGGTGGCTCAGTCAGCTAAGCGTCCATTTCTTGATTTCCACTCAAATCATAATCTCACAGTTCGTGAGATCAAGCCCTGTGTTAGGCTCTGTGCTGACAGTGTGGAGTCTGGTTGGGGTTCTCTCTCTCTGTGACTTCTCTGCACCCATACGTTCTGTCTCTCGACATAAATGAACACTTTAAAAAAAGCAATGGTTTGTAAAAATAGGATCTACTTGAGTGATAGTAACCAAACTTCTGGGTGCACAGGTGGGTGTAACTGCAATCTAGGTAGATGTGAGTGTTAGAAGACTTTTCTTAAAGCTCTGTGTGCAATGCAAAGGATACCATTTTCATTTAGAGTGATTATCTATTTGGAGTTTCTAAAACATCTTGAAATCTCTAGCATGGCCATTAGGAACCCAGGTTGTATTCAGTTTATGTCCATAAACATGTATTCTGTATACCTTTATTTACTTACAAAGGTGAGTAAGTTACACATCCTGTCCTCTAGATGAACCCAGTCTGCAGAGGAAAAACTTACCTATGCAAATCACTGTAATTAAGTAAAGAGAATAAGAGAGGGCAGAGAAAAGAAGAGCAGCTCTGTCAGCCCTGGAGGGATGCTGATAAAGGATCATCCAAAAGAGATAAGATAGGTTTTATAGATGAAATGGGTTGTGTTACTATTAACAACTGGGTAGAGCATGGCCAAACTTAAGACAAAAACGTGTATGGGGTTCCTGTGTGGCTCGGTTGGGTTCAGCATCTGATTCAGCTCAGGTCGCGATCCCAGGGTTGTGGGGTCGAACCCCGCATCTGACTCCATGCTGAACATGGAGTCTGCTTAAGATTCTCTTTCCCTCTGTCCCTCTCTCCTTCTCTTGCTCTCTTTCTCTCTCTCTTAAAAAAATAAAAAAATTTAAAAAAAAGCGTGCCAGACCTGGGAGGAATTGCAGGATATCCGAATGAGGGAGGGAGTTCTTGAGATTGTGTTAAACTTCTCATTCTGCTGTTTTTGGTCACCATCTTCCTCTTTCCACCACCGTCCCCATTTCTTAGCCATTTGTACTTGAGATGGCATTGTTTTCCATCAGGTCCTTTGTGTACTGCAGCCAAGAGAGTTGCAACGCCCAGGCTTATGTGGCCTTTATCACACAGGAGGCCAGAATTCACATCAGAAAAGAGACTTGATTGACTCTAACTGGCCCATCCCTGGATCCGTTTCAGTGAAATGGAGCAATGTGATTAGCTGACCTGGGTTAACCATGTACATCTGAGCCTCCTTATAGGCTCTAGGCTAATTTTTCTTTTGTCCACTTATCAAAAGCTCTTTTTATATTTTTACATTTAACAACTTCTTTACAGAATAAAGATCATTAAAGGGAGAAGAAGGAAGGAAAGAGGGGAGAGAGAAAAGTAGAGAGAGATGGAGGGAAGGAGGGAGAGAGAGAGAGGAAAACTTGAAACTTCACAAATTTAAAAATTGTGACTCAGATTCCATGAGGCAAGAATCATTAGGAGCCTATGGCAATTGTTTAAAATATATTTGAAATACGGATCTTACTGGTTCAGTTTTATAGGGAAGAAAAAAGCTATGATAATGTCTTGCTCAAAAACTCATTCCTCCATACTTTGCTGCCTGATAAAGCCATCCACTTCACTGTTTAACCTGGCATCCCATTAACAAAATTATTTATTAATATTTTAATTAAATCTACTTAATCTCTTAATGTTTTCCATCATCTTCTCCCAAAACATGTTCATCCGGAAAATTATCTAGTCTCCAAGCCATCCCAGGAGACAGTTTTACTGGATGCTGTTCTTGCTCATGACATGACTTGTCATCCTTCCAGCTTCTAGGTGATAGTTTCTGCACCACTTGCTGCCCGGTCCCTAAGCTCATGCCACATTTTTGTTTTTGTTTTGTGACTATAAGCATCCTGATTCTGGAGCCAATTACTGTATGAGTCAGGAGAGCCTGGGTAATTCTCGTTTTCTTTCTCAAGTTGTGTGTCCCACACATTTGGCTCTGGTCATCTTGATCATTTAGGAGCACTGCCTGGTAGATGAGCATCCAGGACCACCACAGCAATGGAAATAGAACACAACAAACTGAGCGCCGGCACTGAAGTGACACATGCTGCCTTTGCTCACTCTTCTTGGGTGAAAGCAAGTCACATGGAAATGTATAACTCAGAAAGGTCAGGAAGGTGCCACCTTGCCCTGCTCTAAGACAGCTGAGAGATGGACCTATCTGATGAACAACACTGATTGCCAAAAATTATAAAGTGCTAATCATATTCTAATTATAGAGTTTTTTTCCAAATTCTTCCTTTTTAAAATTTTATAAGATCATTTAACTTAGTATCCAGCATTGTAGTGTGATAGTAGTTAGTACTTAAACAAGATCTTGATCCAGAAATTTAGAATACCGTATCACTTTATAGACATTTATAGACATTTTAGTAATAAATTTAGGATACTATAAGTGTTTATGTTCTAAAAGTGCCAGCCATGTAAAAGAAAAAAAATTTCAACCAACTTGAATTTATCAACTGTATTAAAGAAAGTTCTCTGGTTACCAGAAACAGACTTTGATTGATTAACCCAATTAAAAGAGAAAATTTTGGAAGGATACAGAATAAAAGGTAAACACGAGAGATCAAGATTTGATGACTGGGAGTTCGAAAAGTTCAGGAAATCAAAGGGAATAACATTATCATCTATATACATCAACAGATTGAATGTCTGACTGTCTCAAAACTCCCATTTTTAAAGTGTTGTGGATAAAGAAGTGTTGTGGATAATAGAAAATGCTTTCTCAGTTCCTCAGAATGACCCAAATAGGTTATGACTTTTTAAACATTTATTTGAGAAAGGGCCATTTAGGGTTTGTGTGTCCACAATGTTGATGTGAATGTTTTGAAAATTGTAAGACATATTAGCACATATGCACGAGTTTTGCTTTATGTGAATATCTTATATTAGATTTTGCTGAATTGTCTTTTATTTTGTAGCGACAGTGATGAAAAACCTCTCAAAGGAAGCCTTCGATCGCTTAACAGGGATATGCAGGCCACAGAAAGTGCTGACAGCTTAGTCCAGTATGGAGAAGGAGATCACGGTCTGTTCAGTGAAGACGGATCCTTCATTGGCGCTTATGCTGGTTCTAAGGAGAAAGGATCTGTTGAAAGCAATGGCAGTTCCACAGCGACATTTCCACTCCGGGCGTAAATGTACCACATGTACAAATCAGTGGTTTCGTATCAACTTTCCATATTTATCTGTTCAAGGGAGCAAGAACTTTCACATAGGAATAGAAACGTATTGGCTTAAGATTTCATCCAGAATTTGAACATCTTGCAGTCATGTCGAGAAAATAGCACTGCCTTGAAAAAGTAAACTACCAAGCACTCCAGGCCTGTATTGTTTGTTTTGTTTTGTTTTGTTTTGTTTTTCAGGTGCTGAAAATTCAGAACACAAAACAAATCCTGTACTTAGATTCACCTCAACTGAATCCAAAGTATCCATTCAGTGTACTCCATTTTTGCCTGGTTTTACTGGTCACTGTGTTTGCATTGTTGTTGCTACCTTGTGGTTTTTCCTCTGTGTGCACATTTGTATTCAGTCTCTGAGAACTGTCTTAGTGACTTTGCTTCACGACAGGTAAAAAGATGGGAAGCAAACCGGTTATTTAAAATGTAAAGAGGAATATGAATGTCTTATTAAAATGGTTCATTGAATATATACAGTCTAAATCTATTATTTAAATTTTTTGTAGCAGGAGTCCTAGATAAACAATCAAGTCGTATTTATTGAGCGCCTAACTGTTTGCCCAGAGATGGTCATGTTTAAACAGAATTCTAATTTTTTCAGTTTCAACACGAATTTTTTGGGTATATCACTTATGACATCTAGAACCATCTTTGTTTTTTGTTCTTTTCTTGGACTAAATTCAGCTGAAAAGGAAGTGGTGGTCAGAAGGTTATCTTATGAAAGAACAGGCCAAGGTTTCCGGGCTGCTGGCGTCTCCTAGCTATATCTATTTAATATCTTCATTTCTAAATTGACCACTTTGACCTTTTTTCTATGTTTATATAATGGTATGCTTGCATCTATTTCATGAATGCATTGTACATATTATGTTAATATTTACACAATTAAAAATACAGATGTGTTTTATTTTGAAGTGAGAAAAAGAACATTAACAGGCATGTTTGTACAGCTAAAGTATATAGTAAGATAACATTTTGCATCATTCCACAGCTACAACCAACAACATGAGGTTCCAAAACTGAAGACTTTGTATAAAGCATTTGGGTTTTGTTCTTATATTGCTTTTTCCTACAGTCTCAAAATAAAATATCATATAAATATTGAGGGAAATGTTTTCATATTTTTCAAAATAAGTTTTTATTGTTGAGTATATTCCTACCCCAGCCCCCAAAAGAAAAACTGTTTACAGTAGATATTTCTATATAGAGGTTTGCTTTTCACATTTTAAACATCCTTAAGGTGGGATCTCTGTTCCTCTGTCAAAGTCAGCACAAATTCAGGGAATTAATTTTCTGGCATGTGGGCCACTAGTCCTTCTAAAATTGTACATGGAAATGGCTTAAAAATATTATGAAGGACTGTGCATGCGTGCCAGTAAAATCTGGTGTTCAACTTCTCACTTTATGGAAATATTTTTTAACCCTACCATGAAATTCTTAATTATGTTTAAGTGAAAGGGACTCACAGATTTTCCTTTATGTTTTGAACTGTAGCTATGGCCATACCTTGTGAAATCTTGACTTTGATTTATGCAGCCCACTGTATTTCTGGTGGACTGAAATTAGGGATGTTTATAGTGGTCAGTGCAGTAATCCACATGGAGTACCTAATGGTCATTTTTTTTTTTACCTTGTGTGTCCTCCAAAATGCATAGGCAGCAAAAGAATGTCTTAGTTGAAACAATGTGTCATGGGCTCGGGATTTGACCAAACTCCCAGAAGTCAGAGTTTCCAAAGGAGAGGGCGTCTTGGTCCTCCCTGTGTGTGAGGGTCCATACTTCCATTAGTGCACCTTGAGTTTCATCCCCATCAGATTTCTAAAGCATTTTCTGGAGGAAGAATCCTCATGTTTTGACATACCTGGGAGGAATTTCTCGTACTCAGCCACTGATAAGGCCAAGATTGGGACTTTTGCGTTTAGTTCTGCTGTTATTCTGGTTCCTTTTCTTTGTCATCAGCCCAAACGGTTTTAAGAGAATCATGCAGGTTGGAAATACTCTCCAGAAAGCATTAGAAGTAGATTTCTTTTAAATTTGATAATCTTTAAATTAGAAGTTAACACAAATACTGAAGTGTTTGATCTTCCTAGACCTCAGTGTTTCCCTTTAGCAGTATGAGTAACAGGGATGTTCCTGCTCCTATTTTTCTGAAAGACCAAAACTTACTTACAGATACGAAGCCTGAGATTATGTTATGACTGCCTTTTGCTGTTATTTTTTTATATGTTTTCTTAATACCATTTGGCTTCTACTACGAATCTTCAGTGCAGAAGAATTGGTTCATAACTAACTTTCTCTGTTAACTGTCAATATTATTTTAATGTAATAGATTGTATATAATCTCAAGGATTGTTGGTGGGGATGAGTTCCTAGAGAACTGTCCAAGGGTTGGCAAAATCCAAGTTCTCTTCCTGGTTCCAGCGCTGATCTTGTACATAAACCTTAGGCACGTTGCTTGACCCCTTTGCTTCATGCTGTCTCAACTATCAAGTGCTAATGATTATCTCAGTTACCTTACCTTTGTCACAGGGTGTTCTTTTTTATGAAGAAAAATTTGAAAACGATAAAAGCTAAGATGCCTTGTAACTTCATAAACAAACCGTTAATCCAATGATGTATCAAAAGTCACCCCACACATACCAACTCAACTTTTTTCCTGTGAGCACATAAATATATTTTTATAGAAAAACAAATCTACAGGAAGTAAAATCTACTGTTCAGTGAGCAGTATGATTTGCACATGCCATCAAAAATTATTAATCAGAAAACAAGTAAGCAGGGTCTTTGCTATACAAAAGTGTTTTTCACTAATTTTGCATGTGTATTTATAAGAAAATGTGAATTTGGTGGATTATTCTATTGGTGTAAAGGCATCTGATATTTTAGATGTACCCATGTTTATAAAAGTGTAAAGCACAATGAAATTATGCTGGAAGTCTCAAATAATATTTTTTCCTATTTTATATTCATGGAAGAGATGAGATAGAGAGAGAACGATAATGAGAAATGTTGGTGTGTTTTTCTAAGCATTTAAAACATAATTGCCAATTGAAACCCTAAATATGTTTACATGCCATTAAGATATGATTCTTGTAACAATTTTAAATTGATTATAAAGGGACTGGGTTTGTAATCTGTGGTAGTATATATCCTAGTGTTCCCATAGTGAAATAAGTAGGGTTGAGCCAAAGCTTAATTTGTTTTGTGTCTTAAATTGTTTGATTACATCATCAAAAGAGATGAAAGGTATGTAGAACTGGTTTACCTGATTACTTTTTTTTTTTGGCTTAGATTAATATTCGTAGTAGAACTTTATTAAAATGTGTTTGTATAGTAGGTGGTGTTTGTATTATGCTTATGAATATGTATGGTTTAAAAATATTTTCATTATACAAGAAATTCAACTTTCCAAATAAAAGTTCAACTTCATGTACTCTAAAAATGTTTGTATACTTTTCTGTCCAGATAAGAAGAATCAGAGTTTACATATCAATCTTGCTTCAGTTGCCTGTGATCCCAGAATGAAGTATAAATTGATTAAGTATAAATGACATATAAATAAAAGCATTTTGATTTGAAGGACTATACATACAAATAGGCCATATAATAACAACATCTACAAACTGTAATAGGCCAATAATTCTGCACTTAATGATAAATGTGAAATTAAGATGAATGTATATATTCATTTGATTGTTTTTAGAACAGTGTAGACATGTCAATACTCAAGAAAATGTCCAATATACTACACTTTCAAATAAGGCTAGCGAGTAATTGGGACACCCAGACAATCTACTGGAAAGTGTGATGTTTGAAAAGTGTTTTATGTGTGCTAAACATGTTACATACATTATCACATTTAACCTCTAAAACATCTTCTGTTTGTATAATTAAGGCACAACATGGTTAAAATAATGTGGTGAGTATAACCAGGATGGGCTCGAGGTGGAAATTAAACCCAGTGCTGTTTGACTGTAAACCCAGGCTCAGAATCCTTATTCCAGTATGTATTCTTTTATCTCTCACTCCACCATTTATCTTAGAAATGCTAAGAAGGGTAAGTTTGAGTTTAATATTGCCCTGGTGATCGTGTTTAGAAACTTCTTGGTTTTAAGAGACGTGATCAAAATGTACAACAGGGGAAAACAACATTATACATATAAAGCAACTGAATGTGTGTAGCCTAAAACGCAGTAATTGAAATAAATTGATAAATTTGCTGCCTTACAATTCTGCCAAGAGGAAAACATGGCATCCAAACTTGTTGGACTCTGGAGTTCTGTGAAGACTCAATGTTAGGTTTCTCTTATTTCTCTAATCTATCTTACCCATCAGGCTTTGATTGTCATGTGCAGACACATGACCTCAAGGTATTTTTAGCCTGGGATTGTCCATTTATCTGAGGCTTTCTATTTATGACTTCCTGCTTGACATTTCTTTTCCTAATGTTTGAAGGCTATTTCAAACTCAGTGTTTCAAAAGTGAGTGAATGACTTTCCCCTTCCAAACCTATCCAACACCCCTCAACTGTGCATACAATGCAATGATTTTCAGCAGTACTTAAGCCATAAACCTATCCTTACCAAGCTTTCTCCCTTTCCCCGTGCTCAATCCATGACAAAATCCTGTTGATAGGATGGCTTACCTATTTCCTGGATCTACTCACTGCTGTGTACTGTGATCATTTGGCTGAGCCACTTTTATACTAACTGGTCTGTGTGCATTGCCTTCCTCTCCACAAACTTTTGATCAGAATACAGAGAGCATAATACTTGAAGTGCATATCTATTCATGCTGTTTCCCTATGATGACTCCCCAAAATGACTTTCCATTTCTTAAGATAATGACAAAAATCTTTAGTAAGTCTTCAGCATTCTGCATGGTCAGACCCCTACTAAGCGCCACTCCCATCATTCACCATTCTCTCCTTCCTCTCTCCATTTCTGACATAATGATTATA